ATATTTGTAATAGACATAATTGAGGAAAACTACACTGGTTAGAAAGGCGGGGTCCAAGAGCTAATGCCTCGCTTCCGCAAGCACAAATAGTAAATACAGACACACACACACCAGGTGGGATAACGAGATCTGTCTCTCACTCTCTCTTAAGGGAAATCTTTATAATTAATAAGATATATTAAAAACAATCATCACAGATGGCTTGTGAGCCTCTGTCCCACCATGCCCCCCCCCCGGCAGCCCTTCCCCACCATGCCCCCCCCCCTGCAGCCCTTCCCCACCATGCCCCCCCCCCGGCAGCCCTTCCCCACCATGCCCCCCCCCCCTGCAGCCCTTCCCCACCATGCCCCCCCCCCTGCAGCCCTTCCCCACCATGCCCGCCCCCCCCACCTGCAGCCCTTCCCCACCATGCCCCCCCCCCCTGCAGCCCTTCCCCACCATGCCCACCCTTCACCAGTCAGCTGTCTCTCACACAACATAAGAACATAAGCACCATCTGACTGCCTGTAACACCACCTGACTCTCTCTAATACCAAGTTTTTTCTCTCGGCTGGTAGTTCCCTGCTGTGGCCTGACTAGTGACAGGTTATGGTCAGCATGTCACACTGAACAGCTGGTAGTGTGTGAGGTCCTCGGGGCCCAGCGTGTGTTCCACGCTCTTGCACGCTCTTGCACGCTCTTGCACGCTCTTGCACGCTCTCTGCGGTTGTGGCTGTTGCCAGGGCTACTCTCGTCCGGTCACTAGGCCTTGTATGCACTGATTTTTGCACTGATTTGCATAGTCGTGTGCATGGGTGTATGTGTTTGAGTGAGCGTGTGTGAGCGTGTGTGTGTATTTCATTAGTGTTGTATTTTTGTATTATACATTTAGGCCTGCGTGTGTATGCTCGTACACCTGTTGTTGCCTATTCCTGACTTGACGCAAGATCCCTGACGTTGCTCCTGTTCCGTACTCCTGACATTTGACGCAAGTTCACTGACGCTGCTTCTGTTAAGCTTCCCTGACATTTGACGCAAGGGTTCCGACGCACTGACGCAGGAGAATGCCTCTCGGCTTACCCTTCACAGAGAAGCAAGTCTGTGAATCACACAAATTGACCCTGAAAATCGCTATTTATGGAGACTCGTAACCTTCCAGCGAGGAGCGGCAGAAGCAGGACGCAGCAGAGGGGGAGGTCAGCAGGCCGGTGTAATGATCTGGGGCTCAGATCATTGGTTCTCCCTTCTCCCCTCTTTTCCCTCCCCTTCTCCCCTCCTTTCCTTCTCCCTCTCCCCTCCTTCCTTCTCCCCTCCCCTTGGCCGTCATTCGTCTCCTCCTCTTCCCCCCCCCCCCCCTGTCGCCCATTTGTCAGGGTCAAGAGGTTGACCTGAGGGTAGGGTGGTCGTGGATACCTTGGCTTCTCCCACTCAATTCCCCACTCAGATATTTCCCTCTCCACCCCCTCTCATCCCTCTCTGTCCCTCTCAGCAGCGGCCTTCCCCATACCAGGCAGAGTCAAATGTCCCTACTCCTATCTTAGAGGAGACAGGCTTGAACATAAATTATCAGTTTTGTAAACATTGCTCGCAGGTGCCTGGGCTCCATAGACGCGCCTTGTCCCTCTTCTCTTTAGCTGGGGAGAGCTGACTCAATCTTCAGAAATTCATGTAGCTTTCCACGACAGATCAGTGAAGGTGATTGGCCTGAGATAAGGGCCAAGTCCTTATTGGCCCTAGAGAGCCAGACCTCAGGCCTACGTGTTAAATGGTTGGCCATTGCCAAAATAATGGGTGGAGCCCTGGGGCTGTAGTAGATGGTGGGAGGAGTAATCCTTCCCAGCAATAGGTTGGAAAAACTAAATTTCATTAGTGTGTCTTGGGAGTGTATTAGGAACAGGGCCGCAAGCCCGTATCCTCGGGGCTGAGGGCAGCCATCAACATCGTGGCCGTAGTGCGGGTATTTAAGGTAGAGTAGCACTTGAGTTTCGTGTCCTCGGTAAATATCCATTGTGCCTCTAGGGAAATAGAATAGGTGATGTGTTCAAATTGTCTTAATTTACGTTTCATAAAATAAATTGTATAGCTTGTCCAGTGGTATTCACTAACTCCCCTTTGATATATTTGCTACTTTGTCATTTTTTAGGTGTTGTATTGGAAGCCCCCCAGGTTCTCCTAACAATAAATCGATACTAAAGTTGCCCTTGGATTTAAATTAGTAACGTAAATTACACAAACTAATTTTCCAAAATTTATTACTGAAATTCATATTACCCGGAGTCCCAGGATTACTGATTCCTTGCCTTCCTGGGGGATCGGTGATTGACACATTCAGGTATGGTTGGTCAGGAAGGTGGTGGCAGTGTAAATGTGTTTTGTTATTGTTTCTTTTAACTAATAACCCTTGTCCTTGGTGTATCTTCCTCATTTAATATTCCTCTTACATACGTGGCCGTCCAGTGAGGGGTCATGCTGGACTGTAACAGTGTTAAGCTGGGGTATTGAGTGAAGAGAGACAGAGATGTACAACAGAGAGCGTATATTACGATCACGAGAGATAACAAGATAACAGGATTACTACTGGGGAACATTGGGTTATTACAATAGTGGCCGCGGTTATTACGACAGAGGGAAGCGGTCGTTACACCGGGGCGGAGGGAGGGAAGCTGGCATGGGCGTGGCTCAGGGCAGCAGAGGTGGGCGTGGCGGAGGTGGGCGGCAGAAATGGGCGTGTCAGGAGATGAGTGCGGCTGCGGGGGGCGCCATCCCTCAAGGGGGCCGTTATCCGGGGGCGCTCCGCTCCAGAACAGACGGACTATAACCGCCCGCATCTAGCCTCCATATCTCACCCAAATGGCCGCCAGAATCTCCCGTCCTCCTGCAATATTTCAGCGGAAGCTGCGGAACGAGGTTGATAAAATGGATGATTATTACTGTTCGGATGTTGCAGGTGCAACGGGCAACTGCAACTGGAAATCAACTGTGAAAAGGATGGGTTTGTTTTCCAGAACTTTGTTTAGTGGTTCGCGTTGAGGCATAGAAACTGTTTTCTTTACCTCACAGTTCACGGGAACTGTGAGGTGGTTGATTCTCCACGCCCCTGATCCCCGAGCCTGCTCCTGCTGGGGTGGATGACTGTTGGGGTCGATGACTGCTGGGGTGGATGACTGCTGGGGTGGATGACTGCTGGAGGTCACCCTCACACTCGAGGCTGGAGGTCACCCTCACAGACGAGGCTGGAGGTAGCTATATAGGTCATTATATAGGTCATGTGGGAATAATAGGAAATGACATTACAGACGAAGCTGCAAAACTTGCAACTAAGCGAAGAAATATAAACATTTATATACCCCAGAGTTTATCACAGATTAAGAAAGTAATTAGAAATAGAGCAATGCAGATGATGTATAGTGACCACAACACAGCTGTTGCAACATCAGGATCTGCGGGTTGGTACAAGAATTCGGCCAACTATGAACCACTTAGTTTGATGACAGGGAGCAGTAGAGCAACAGAAGTGCACTTACATCGCATCAGGTTTGGATACCCATGTGCATGGGAAATAGGCCTACAGGTAGCTCTTAGCTCTTTGGTCCCGCCTCTCAACCGTCAATCAACGTCATCTTTGCAGGTGTGTGTGTGTATGTGTGTGTGGTCATGGCTGCAAGCTACGCTAAAGTGTGTGTGTGGGAGCGGGGAAGCAGGTCAGGTGTCTGGTGGGGGATGCAAGAGGCGGCCACAAGGTTGTGTTGGTGTCCCCTTACCCAGGTGTCCCCTTACCTGTGCTTCCCCTCCCCTCTATACCCCATCCCCTCACGCCTCTCCTCCCCTCACCCCCCACTCCCAGCTCTCCCCCACCCCACCCACCCCCCAACCCTGGATCTCACAGAACGTTTCCTCGGCTGGCCGTCGACCTGCCAGGGAGATTCTGGTTGATATGTTTGAACTTACGTTTAAAATCTCGCTGGTGGGAGGAGCAGCTTTACCTAGACATCTATCTGTACGTGACCTCCTTAGTGACTTCCACAGTGACTTCCACGATGACTTCTACAGTGGCCTCAGTGACTTCCACGATGACTTCTACAGTGGCCTCCTCCTTCTCAGTGACTTCCATAGTGACTTACACGGTGACGTCCTCAGTGACCTCCTTAGTGACTTTTCCAGTGACTTCCTCATTGACTTCCACAGTGACTACATTCTCCTGAGGTCTGTAGAAGGAGACCGAAATGTTATTGCGTATTTGGATTCCATAAGGGAGCCAATCCCATCAAAATACGTATATTAAATACTTACCCAACTCCCTTAATAATCAATCAACCAATGGGATAATATATAATTAACTCAATTAACTAAATTAAACATACCAAGATATAATTTAACATTAAAAAAAATATAAATTCATCAGCTTGAAAAAAAAAATTCTTGCATAAAGCAAAAAAAATGTTCGCTATCCTAAAATATACTTTTTCTTGAGTGAGTGAGACCGGAAGTGGTTGAACATTAGCAAAAGGAAAACGCTCGCTGGTCCGAAATAATATGACAAAATATAGTCTAATTTTTCAAGAGACTAAAATAAATTTGAGAATCCCGTTGCATTAAATATATATATATATATATATATATATATATATATATATATATATATATATATATATATATATATATATATATATATATATATATATATATATATATATATATATCGTGTTAAGTGTAATATTCGAAATCTGTAGGTTGTGTGGGCAGTCCGTCTTCCTAAGATTTCCTAAGGTCAAGGTAAAACGATCAATTTAAAGTGGTCTCTCCTAACTTGCCAGAGGACCCAAAACAGAAAACGGGACAGTATGTCACTTTCGCCAGCCGCTTCCATTTTCTAGTACGGCAATTTTTGGTCTTGTGTAACGTATACGACCGAAATTCGACGTTCTTTGTAGGGGGGACAGGTTGTCACGCGCCGGAGAGCGGCTCCCTGGTCGGAGGACTCTATGACCCAACCTGTGACTTGAGCCTTGCTGCAGCTGCAGATGCCAAGACAAGCATATGCTGTTGTAGAGGTGGTTGAGGCCCCCTCCACGACGCCACACCTCCACGACGCCTACAGCTCCACGACGCCACACCTCCACGACGCCTACAGCTCCACGACGCCACACCTCCACGACGCCTACAGCTCCACGACGCCACACCTCCACGACGCCTACAGCTCCACGACGCCACACCTCCACGACGCCTACAGCTCCCCGACGCCACACCTCCACGACGCCTACAGCTCCACGACGCCACACCTCCACCACGCCACACCTCCACGACGCCTACAGCTCCACGACGCCACACCTCCACGACGCCTACAGCTCCACGACGCCACACCTCCACGACGCCTACAGCTCCACGACACCACACATCACGACGCCACACCTCCACAACGCCACACCTCCACAACGCCACACCTCCACGACGCCTACAGCTCCACGACGCCACACCTCCACGACGCCTACAGCTCCACGACGCCACACCTCCACGACGCCTACAGCTCCACGACGCCACACCTCCACGACGCCTACAGCTCCACGACGCCACACCTCCACGACGCCTACAGCTCCACGACGCCACACCTCCACGACGCCTACAGCTCCACGACGCCACCCCTCCACGACGCCTACAGCTCCACGACGCCACACCTCCACGACGCCTACAGCTCCACGACGCCACACCTCCACGACGCCTACAGCTCCACGACGCCACACATCACGACGCCACACCTCCACAACGCCACACATCCACGACGCCTACAGCTCCACGACGCCACACCTCCACGACGCCACCCCCATCACCTCAGAGTGAACCCGATGCCGCGGCGCTTCGCCTTCTAAACCAACCTACACCTGCTGGACAGTGACAGAATACAACCTTGTGCCAGGCTCCGGGTCCCTGCATGTTACACTGTCAGGGTGTTATATGAATTAATCTAATGATAAATATGTAGCTCGTTGTGTTGGTTGAGTTACACCATCCCACAAGTCACTACCATCCAGGTGGTCTCTCTCCTCAGGTGGTCATTCTTCTCAGGTGGTCTCTCCTCTAAGATAATTTGCCAACGTATTTTGAAAGCTACGTAACATAACCAAAATCAACTCAACCCATCCTAATCAAACCGATCTAGCCTATCCCAGCAGAGCCCAAAACTGCCTGCTGGGATAGGCTGTTTTGGGTTAAGCTAATGCTATATATATATGGTTTTAATAAACAGAAAACGAGCTTTGTCGAATAGTCTTGTGTACAAAATGACCAAAGTCCACACAAGAGAGGCGTGTGTAAGGGTGGACGAATGGAGGAACATGGACGAAGGGAGGAACATGGACGAAGGGAGGAACATGGACGAAGGGAGGAACATGGACGAAGGGAGGAACATGGACGAAGGGAGGAACATGGACGAAGGGAGGAACATGGACGAAGGGAGGAACATGGACGAAGGGAAGAACATGGACGAAGGGAGGAACATGGACGAAGGGAGGAACATGGACGAAGGGAGGAACATGGACGAATGGAGGAACATGGACGAAGGGAAGAACATGGACGAATGGAGGAACATGGACGAAGGGAGGAACATGGACGAAGGGACGAACATGGACGAAGGGAGGAACATGGACGAAGGGAAGAACATGGACGAAGGGAGGAACATGGACGAAGGGAGGAACATGGACGAAGGGAAGAACATGGACGAAGGGAAGAACATGGACGAAGGGAAGAACATGGACGAAGGGAGGAACATGGACGAAGGGAGGAACATGGACGAAGGGAGGAACATGGACGAAGGGAGGAACATGGACGAAGGGAGGAACATGGACGAAGGGAGGAACATGGACGAAGGGAGGAACATGGACGAAGGGAGGAACATGGACGAAGGGAGGAACATGGACGAAGGGAAGAACATGGACGAAGGGAAGAACATAGACGAAGGGAGGAACATGGACGAAGGGAAGAACATGGACGAAGGGAAGAACATGGACGAAGGGAGGGACCTACTGACGACGCCAACATGTCAGCTGGCAACACTGACAAGTGGGAAGACGCCCGCGTTGAATTAACTGGTGGAATAACTGGAGGCTTGGGAGAGTGGAGGGATTACTGGAGGCTGTGTTGTGTACAGGGATGACTGGAGACTGAAGGCAGCATAGAGAGGGTACCTTTAGAAAGCCAATTAATGCTGGTTTTCCTCCGCCATATCCAGGTCCACTCCAGTTACTTGCTGTTCATCACTGACCGTCCTCAACTAAAACTCTAACTGTCTCGTCTTCCTGCAACTGTCAGCTTCAAGAGTTCACCGGACGCTAGTGACGTCAAAAGAAAATGCCATTCCAGAATATCGCGGTGTTTCCTGGAAGCATTCTGAAGAAATTCCACATCATTTTATAAATCTCCAGAGTCGTTTGGAAGTGCTTCCGGTGGTTGTGTTGTATCAGGATGTTTCTGTCTTATAGTGACAGCTGTCAGCGTCCCCCTGCTCGATCCTGTGAGTGACAGCTGTCAGCGTCCCCCTGCTCGATCCTGTGAGTGACAGCTGCACATGTTTTATACAGTACATGTTTGTTGTATACCATCCTTGATGGGGTATGATTCTCTCTCTGCCTGTATATCTATCTATCTTTTTATCTCTCTGTCTGGCTTTTTTATTTTTAACTAAGACTAGGGTTCATAAAGGCTGTCAAGTGACGTGCCTAGTGAAACTGCAAGCGAGAGCTGTTATCCTGCCTCAGCTTATCTGAAGCCTGATCCTAGAAACTCATTTATTTCATGAGCCTGTTATATGCATGAGTAGGAATAGCCTTTATTCATTAACAACATTAGGTAACAATCATATACTCATATGATTATCTCTCTCTCTCTCTCTCTCTCTCTCTCTCTCTCTCTCTCTCTCTCTCTCTCTCTCTCTCTCTCTCTCTCTCTCTCTCTCTCTCTCTCTCTCTCTCTCTCTCTGGGTGATGCTAAAGATCCCCATCACACAGGATGGTTAGTCATACAGAGGCATGTGATCAGTAGTCTACACTAGCAAGCTCTAGGTGCATTATGAGGATATCAATATCTGATTTTTTTTCAATTCTGGACAACTAATCCCCCTTTTGAGACTTCCTAACAGTTGCTGGGATATAGAATAGGAGCCACTCCTACTTAAGAGGTAAGGAAGTGGACCCCAACCACCCTATGACACTCTCCATGCTATCACAACTCACCATGTACAGTTTCATGAGACTAGCCCTCGGCCTCTGGCCTCCAACCTCGGACATACAGAGACAAACTGACATTCTGGTTGATACCTGGTTGATACCTGGTTACCTGGTTGATACCTGGTTACCTGGTTGATACCTGGTTACCTGGTTGATGGAGTTCTGGGAGTTCTTCTACTCCCCAAGCCCGGCCCGAGGCCAGACTTGACTTGTGAGAGTTTGGTCCACCAGACTGTTGCTTGGAGCGGCCCGCAGGCCCACATACCCACCACAGCCCGGTTGATCCGGCACTCCTTGGAGGAAACAATCTAGTTTCCTCTTGAAGATGTCCACGGTTGTTCCTGTAATATTTCTGATGCTCGCTGGTAGGACGTTGAACAACCGTGGACCTCTGATGTTGTATAGATATAGATAGAAGATAGATAATGCACCGCTGGTGAATGTTATTCATTCTTATAGTCGGGTTGAACACAAGTTCAACAGCCCCCACCCTTCCCTTCCCGAAGTCAGAATATACAAGTGAACACTAATTGGTATCAAAATATGTATTTGATTGCATATACTGTATATACACGCACGTATATACCAATAGTCTGTATTCCTGGGGGGGGGGAGAGGGTAACGTGTGATAGGGGAAGGGGGTGACACACACGTAGGTGCACCCTCTAATGGGTGAAGGGGATAACACAGGTAGGGGGGCAGCTTGTCATTGGCGGAGAGGGAGAGAGGGAACAAGAGACTCGCTGAGAGCGTCGTTGAACGCGTGAGGAAGCAGATGCTGAAGCCGCTATCCGTCCCCACCGAGGGCCGGACTCTGATTAATTGAGATCAAATTTTAATCAAAGTTAACCCAATCTGGCGCACCTGTCGCGCTCCAGGGGGGAGGGGGGTGTTGGCCCGTGGGAACTAGAGGGAGACGAACTCCCTCGTCTCTTGTCCCCCTCTGACTCTTATGGGTATGCTGTCAACTCACTTATTTGTGAACAAATCCACAAGGGCCGTGACGAGGGGTTCGAACCTACGTCCGAGAGGATCCCAGACGCTGCCATAGCGTGATGCATTCAGTTGATGCATCACGCTATTGTGATTTCTGTGTGTCACCTATTTGTAATTACCTAAGTGTAGTTACAGGATGAGAGCTACGCTCGTGGTGTCCCGTCTTCCCAGCACTCTTTGTCATATAACGCTTTCAAACTACTGACGGTCTTGGCCTCCACCACCTTCTCACCTAACTTGTTCAACTGTTTGTGCCTGCAGGATCAAGCTTTAGCTCCTCGACCCCGTCATTCTAGCCGCCAGTTGTGTAATGCAATGACTCCTGAATTATTTCTATATTATAGCTACTTTTAAAAAAAATTCAATGGAGTTCGCTTGTACAATCTGCTCTTTTTGTTCATTCAGTTTTCCACTATTTCTATGCCAAAATTTTTTTATGTTTCCATGGCTTATCTGTTTCTCTTGTTCTGTTGGTATTTATTCTGAACAGTTCGTATTTTCTACTCTAACAATCACTTAAGTATTTTATTCTTTAGTATCATGTCTCCCTTCTCCATCCTCTATAGCCACGTCAGGTCTGGTTATTTTCAGTCGCTCTTCAACCCGTTCCTTTACAGTCATGTGACGAGTCTTATTCCAAACTTCCATTTTGAGTTTTCATAATTTTTTTTTAGGTGGGGGGTTCGACAAAGGGGCGACATACTCTAAAACTGGTCTTACGTAGGCGGTGTACAATAAAATTGAAATTGAATTGTGTAAGGTCCTTTTCATCTCCCGGCCTAAAGTTTCAGTTGGGCAGCAGATAGGTGCCTTTGGAATCCTTTCTTTGAAGGGGGTGTTGGTAGAACATCTAGTTACTGTCATTGTGGTCGACGGTTCGAAGCCTTGATGGTCCATGTGAATGAAATGTATTAATATAATTACAGATGTCATTAATGGTTAGTAATTATTTATTTATTTATTTATTTATTTATTTATTTATTTATTTATTTATTTATTTATTTATTTATTTATTTATTTATTTATTTATTTATTTATATACAAGAAGATACATTAAGTTTATGAGAGTACATAGCATTGATGTGTTTACACTCTTTTTAAAGCCACTAGCACGCATCAACCCGTCCTCTTAAAAATAACGTCACTTTTCGCTGGTATGGCCAAATTTGGACGTAATTTGAAATGAAATCGACTCACAAAAGTGACGTACTGTTCCGTTTTCTGGCTTACTCGGTAAGGTTAGAAGAGGAAACTTTCAATTATCGTTTTTCATAACGATTTGAAACTTTATGAGAGTTTCCTGCCCACCTAACCTATCAGAAGACCCTTAACTTACTGTTGTTGAAAAAAAAATCCCAAATTTATTTTCATTTTTTGTTCATTTTCAAATTACGTCCACTTTCGGCCATACGGGTAAACGGCCAAAAGCCACGTTATTTTTAAGAGGACAGGTTTGATGGGCAGATCCTTAATCTAACATATAATTTTAAGTAGGTAATTTCTAGAAAAATTGAGAAATGATAACAAGTGCATTGTAAGAAAATTTGACGAAGGTACATATGTTACATATATTACATTATATTACATTATACATTATATTGTACATTATAGGTACATTACAGTAAAATTTGAGGATTATAAACAGGTACATTGTAGCATAATTTAAGGATTATTTCTAGGTATAATGTAGTAAAATTTGCGTCCAATGTAACAACCATGATGTAAGATGAGAGCAGTGATTACAATGGTGAAGATGAATGGCTGTAGTTGAGTCTCTTGTCTAATGAACAAATCCACAAGGGCCGTGCCGAGGGTTCGAACCTGTTCCGAGAGGATCCCAGACGCTGCCTTAATCGACTGAGCTTACGGCATGGTCAAAATTGTGATTTTGACATGGTCAAATATTGTGATTTCTGTGTCTCTTGTCTAAGTATAGGCCAAGGAACTTTCCATCATTGTTATTGCTGGAAACATTGTTTATCTGAAGCTGAAATGCATTTGTTGATTTGCTTCCAAATACGATGTAGTAGATCTTTACTATGTTCAGTGTGAGTTTGTTGGTTGACATCCATAAGTGGACTTTTTTAATTCATTATTTACAACATTATTTAATGTGTGTGGGTTGGGGGTCTGAGTAGATGAGAGTAGTATCGTCAGCAAATAACATAAGTGTAAGAATGTTAGAGACATTAGGCAGAACATTGATGTATATAAGAAATAGGAGAGGTCCTAGCTAGGATACTGCCCTGTGGCACTCCTCCGGTTAGTAGTAGAGTGGGAGAGGTTATATCATTGATGGCTACACATTGGTGTCTGTCACTAAGATAGGATCGGATATAGTTCAGGGCAAGGCCTCAGATTCCATAATGGTGGAGTTTAAGTAAGAGGGAGTTATGGTTAACAGTATCAAAGGCCTTTCTCAGGTCAATGAAGAGTCCAATCGGAAACTCATTTTTGTCAAGGGAACTCATTTTTTTTGCTTTGCAATATGATTGCAAATCTCATTGTTGATAAGTAGCAGGCACATTAGAGTTATCTTAGTTCATTTATTATGCACCCCATACCCATCCTGTGGGCGGTAGTGGAAATGGTTACGCAGGCACATAATGGGCTCAGAGACTGAACCCTATAATTAATTTAGCTAACCGAGTTACAGTCGTGATGAGCTAGTTACAAAATTAAATATTTACATTGAATTAAATATCTACACATTTCTTGAGCATTTGTTATAAGGTTGTAGTTGAATTGAATTATATGTATATACATATATTTGATAATGAAAATAAATACCTGGCTATTATTAAAGAATTTTCCACATTTCTGGATGTTATGTAGTGAATCTGTTCATTTTAATATAGTCTCTGCCTTAAAACTATTTTCTAATGCAATTACATTACAGAAAATGAACTTTTATGGGGGGACATAAAGAACTTTGATAAAATATAAATTGCTTAGCATATATTTGCCTGAATTTTAACTGAGGGCCACTAGTTCTCAAATGACCTCGACGAGGACAGAAAGCTGGTGGCTTGTCGAAGGTCCCCCATTTGTCCTGATGGTTTTTTGTAAACTGGAGTTTGAAATGCAACAGCGTTTTGGCATTTACGGCTACAGCAAAGTTGCTTAATATTTTAAAAGTTTATATTGATATAAATATAATTTATACAAAAGTGAGATCAGCAATGCAGGCGATGAATCACAATAACGTGGCTGAAGTATGCTGACCAATCCACATACTAGAAGGTGAAGGGACGACGACGTTTCGGGTCCGTCCTGGACAATCGACTTGAGAATGGTCCAGGACGGACCGAAACGTCGTCGTCCCTTCATTTTCTGGGGAGATTAGCAATGATATGTTTAGTTTGCAGTATGGGAGTCGACTTAGTTCTGGAATGGTTTTTGTCGTCCAGCGTTGAACTTCTCCAACTCAGAATGTGTTTCTGAAAGTCCCCCATGCTTTTATTTTTTGTATTTATTTACCTCTCCATTTTCTCATCTACATTAATAATCTTCCAAATGCCTCTCAACACCTAAAACCAATTTTATTTGCTGATGACACAACTTTCATTTTCTCCTCTCCTAACCTTCATATTTTGAATGCCACAGTAAATACTGAACTAAATAAAGTCCATCTTTGGCTAACTGCTAACAAAGTCACCCTTAACTTTGACAAAACCTTCTTTAGTCTATTTGGTACTAAATCCTTAGATCAAATTAATCTAAGAATTAACAATATCTAAATTAGTAGCAAAGTGGATGATAAATTCCTTGGTGTTCTCAATGACAACAAGCTGAATTTCCAGGGGCCACATTCAACATATAGCAAAAAAGTTTCTAACACAGTTGGCATTCTTTCTAAAATGAGATATTATATATGCCTCGCCCTGCCCTGGTGACGCTCTATTACGCTCTCATTTATCGTTATCTCAATTATGGTATTTGTGCTTGGGATTCTACTACCCAAAATCATCTCCGTACTCTAATTACTCAACACGAAACTGCTATTAGACCAATAACTAACTCTGGCCCCAGACAGCACTCGGCATCCTTACTTAAATCTTTAAATTTGTTAGATATTAAATCACTGCACATCCTCTCAAGTGTACTCTATATATATGACTCTGAACTGTATTGCCAATCCTGACCTTAACGCTTCCTAGAAGGTTGTAACAGAACCCATGGGCACCACACCAGAAACAAATTCCTATTTGATATTCCAAGAGTGCGTCTTAACCAAACTAGAAATGCTCTACAAATCAAGGGACCCAGAATGTGGAATGACCTTCCCAATCATGTCAAAGACTGTACCTCTCTCAACCAATTTAAGAGAAAAACTAAGTACTACCTAATAAACTCCATGTAACCTACCTTACCTCCTAAATGTCAATCTATGTCTATTTATTTTCAAACAATATTAATTATTGACCAACTTGTTTAACTGCTGATATCCGATATGTATAAACTTAAAAGAAAATTGTTGTCTTCTATTTATTTAATTAAAATTACTTCAGTTGTACTGTTACAATTTCTGCTGTTCCATCCATCATCTAAATTATTATAATTCTTTTTTTTTTCCTTTTTCAATTCAATTTATGCTTTTGATCTTAATTAGTTTTAAGCTTTAGTCTAAGCGTTTTTACCTCACCTTGCCCGAAACGCTGTGTATATTAGTTATACAGTACAAGCATATTATATCAAATTAACAATTATATCAAAACATATATAAGAGTAGTTATATCAAACTAGCATACTGGTATACTTACCAATATAACAATAAGAGTTAAACTTGGCTCTAGGCATAGTTGTACTAGCTCTATCTAGAAATCCAGCATTATGTTTGTAACTCATTTTGAATATATGCACTGTCACCTAAATAAACATTATCTTATCTAGAGACGAACCCAGGCCAAATCGCTTGCGAAGTACGGGGCGAGTGCTTTATCACCGTGCCACGGGGACCCGTAAGCGTTTTCATGTTTCCTTTTGCTTCTTTGAATCTACTCTCATGAAAGGAAAGTTTAGATCTTATTATTATACAGGAATGTATATCAGTATACATACTGGTATGTATACCACTATGCTTGTTTGATATAATTACTCTTATATATGTTTTGATATAATTGTTAATTTGATATAATATGCTTGTATAATTGATAATTATACTTGTCTCATTTTCTTTATTTTCATATTGAGTGGTATTTTGATATATAAGTTGTGTAAGAGTTTATATGTGAACAATTAATGATGGAATATAGATTGACAATAGTCGCAGTGGCACAGCGGTAAAGCACTTGCCCTGTACTTTACGAGCGCTTTGGCCTGGGGGTTCGTATCCTGGCCGGGGAGGATTGACTGGGCACTAATCCTTAACTGAAGCCTCTATTCACCCAGCAGTAAAATGGGAAATTATTTATCAAGCCGTATTCCAGGCAAAAATTAGAATTATGGACCTGCAACCCTGAAACGCTATGCGTGCTAGTGGTTTTACAAGAATGTAATAACGTTTGTATATATATAAATAAAGTAATACAATATAAATGAAGATAGCTCGCCTAGCAACAGATAGTACCAGTATATAGTGAATTAGAACGCCGGGAGAGGGCCACAGAGTCCACCCGGCCAGCAGCCTGATCACTATGGCGTTCTTCAACGTTCTCTCCTCCAGAACCTTATCCCACTCTGCTGTCATGTCCGCCGCTATCAAGAACGTGACGGTGATTGGCAGTGGCCTGATGGGTGCTGGTATTGCTCAGGTGAGAGTGACGGAGAGAGAGAGAGGAATGAAGTATCTGGCACGACCCGGCTCCCTTCACCTTCTGGGGAGGATTCGGCAAAAATCTTTTAAGACACAGCGAGGGTGTCTTCGCTGTGTCAAGATGGAAATGTTGTTCTGGTACACTGTATTTGGAAAGCTTTATCATAGCAGTTAATTATTATCACCTGAAAGTTAGTTTAGTTCATTTATTATGCACCTCATACCCATCTTGTGGGTGGTAGTGGAAAGGGTTACAGAGGCACATAATGGGCTCAGGGACTGAACCCCACAATTCATTTAGCTAAGCAAGTTACAATCTTGATGAGCTAGTTACAAAATTCAGTATGTCGTCACATCAACAATGGGTTCGAGATTGACCACAAGTACAGGTTCTAAATTAAGCAACTGACATATCGCCTGAAAGCAAAACAGTTGTATTTGTACTGGCCCTCAGACGCTGGTATAACTGGCCTATCTTGGTTATCTTGAGATGATTTCGGGGCTTAGCGTCCCTGCGGCCCGGTCCTCGACCAGGCCTCCTTTTTGTTACACATCCCCAGGCAGCAGCCTGTAGCAGCTGTCTAACTCCCAGGTACCTATTTACTGCTAAGTGAACAAGGGCATCAGGGTGAAAGAAACTTGGTCCATTTGTTTCCGCCTCCAACGGGGATCAAACCCGGAACCTCAGGACTACGAATCCCGAGTGCTGTCCACTCAGCTGTCAGGCCTCAGGTGCTGGTATAAAAAGTGTCTAGGGGGATGCACTTACACAGAGGAATGGTCGGATAATAATTATAATAATCGTTATTTAAAAAATACAGAGACGAATATGATCGTGGTTTAATAATTGAGTTTCAGGCATAATTTAAAATAATAGTTATTGTGTGTCCCAATTGTGAAAAATGTATATAGGTATATCATTAGGTTACGATGTACAGTACTGTATTAGGCTATGTTAATTTCGTTGGGTTGGTTTGACTTAGATTACGTTAGGTAAGGGGGGGTTTTTATGTCCGTTTGCAAAACGATATGTATGGTTGTGTATAAATACAAGTCACAGTGTATGATGTGACTAGCATTTATTTAATTTTTTATTTACATACAAGAAGGTACATTGGGTTGTGAAAGTACATACATTGGGGTTTGTTATATTCTTGCAAAGCCACTAACACAAGTTTGGAGGGTTTTTTTTCCTCGTTTTAAAGATTTTGGGGGTTAGATTATGCTGCTCTGGAGATTGTTCAACACCTGGCAACAAAAATCATTCCAGAGCCAAGTCCTGCCTGAAACACTATGCGTGTTAGTGGCTTTGCAAGACTGTAAAAACACCAATGTTATGTACTCTTATGAACCTAATGTACAGTATAAATAAATACAAAAATAAATGTCATCTCATACCAAGAACAGTTGAGGGCAGCAGGGCTAACAACACTGCAAACCAGACATGACAGGGCTGATCACATCAAAACGTTTAAAATAATGAACAATTTGGAGGATGTTGATCTAGATGTCTTCAACAGGTCAGATGTAACACGAACAAGGAGCAATGGTTTCAAGCTCAACAAGCCACAACGTAGGACTGAAAACAGTAGATGTTTTTTCACCCACAGGGTTATAAACCCATGAAACTGCCTACTAGCTGAAGCTGCAAATGCCAAAACTGTTGAACTTTAAAATCCAGCTTGAAAAAATCAGGACCAATTAGGGCACTTTTAACGAGCTGCCGGCTTCCTGTCCTCATCAAGGCAACTAGTGTGTTAGTGGCCCTCGGGTAAATTCGCATAAAAATTCAAAGGGATTACTTGACTTGTATCTCAGATCAGGTTCCTGGTGAAAGAACAGTAGCTGAAATTCCTCATGTTAGCACTTCCAGAAGATGATGTGAGCCTTAAGTCAAATCATGTATACATTCTTTCCACAAATAGTTAATGTAGTAGGTTTTTGTATATAGGAATAATTTTTTTCATACATGTGTGCATCTTGACTTGTGTTCACAATTGTTCTCATCTTCCAAGACAGTAAAATTACTTTAACATTATAATTGTTATGCTGATTAGTTAAGAATGTGTTTAATAACTGTGGAAGATCTAGGACAAATGTGCCTTGGAACAGGGAACTAAGTAAACCTGATCAATAAATAATGTACTGTATATGGTGGATACGCTAATTGTCGATCAGGTTTCCTTGGTTCCCATTTCCAAGGCACATTTGTCTCGGGTCTTCTGCAGTCATTGAAACTAGCCAGACTGTAGTCTACCCACAAGCCCATGATGATTGTAAGTTTGAGGCTTTGGCCGTCACATTTGCTAATATGTTGTGGGCAAATTTTCGGGCTCAGATTTTGGAAATCAAATCGAGTCTTAGGAGGTAGGTATCTGGTTATGTTCCTGATCCCATTCGGGCTTGTGTTGCCGTGGCTGGGTCTCCCGACCTGTGTTTCTTCTTCGATTTTGTAACTACCACCTCTCCACTTTCCTGGCAATGTCTCGTCTGCTTTCTCTGGGTGTTTTCTTGGCGAGGGTAATCATAACAATCCTCTGCTCCCCTGTGCCTCTTTGAGGTGGCGAGGCTTTAGCTCCGGTCTTCAGTTGGCCAACAGGATGCCTATGACTGATGTGATTAGATATTCAGAAATTATATCTGCTATATAAGCTTCAGAGAGCCACTGGGGCTTGCCCCAAAAAAAAGGTTATTTCGCTACATTATATGTTTTTTTTATTTGTATTTACCTAACAATGCAGTTTAAAACCCTCAGCAGCATTACCTCTGATAAAAGTATCTTTGTATATACCTGTACTTTCCAATGATATTAAATTAATCTAATTATTTTAAGTTTTCATTTTAATTTGCTAGTTTTAATGATATTTTGAGCACTTTCTTTTGTCTAAAGGAAACTGTATTGATCTACAGTAATTTCTTTCAAAAAAAGAATAAACTGTAGCTGGAAAGATAGGCTGCCTTGTGCTATGAAAAATAATACACTGTATTTGACAAAATGTAATAGTTCATCAAATAAAGCTAAAAATGGCTTCTTAATATATAACCTATTGCTATATTATCCAGGTTTTTTCTCTGTGCTGATGCCTCCCCATCCCTTGAAAGTGGGAACCAATAGTGTCAATCTCTATGTATTTAATGTACTAATCAAGAGAGGTCAGGCAAGGGGCCATCATTGGAAGCTAGACATAAAATTAAGTTGGAGATGTAAGGGCATTCTTATTCCCTGTGCTTTGCATGTGGTTTGCACTGAAGGAAGAGGTTGGTATCCAATTCCATCCACAACTTTTAAGACCAAAAATATGATGAAAATGGTAATGTTAAGAAAGGTAATTAGTGCATCATGTATAAACAGCTAGGAGGTGAGGCATAAAGACCTATCACTTACTCCCCCAGAGTCACTGATGGGTAAGATAAACAGTTGAAACAGACACCAAGGTATGCTTCACAATTTTTTCTTGATCTTGGGAATTCTAGTTCTCTACAATTGACAATTGTAATACAATATGTGCAATGTGATATGTTTCTCATAATTCTTTTCATCTTGCAGGTAGCAGCACAAACTGGCCATCATGTGACCATGGTAGATATTGATGCTGTTGCCGTAGAAAAGGCACAGAAGAGAATTAACGATTCTATCCAACGTGTAGCTAAGAAGAAATTTGGTGGTGAAAGTGAGGAGGCTAGAAAGTTTGTCGCGGATTCTGTCTCTCGCCTCAGCACATCAACTGATGCTGTGGCATCTGTAGGAACAGCGGATTTGGTAGTAGAGGCTATTGTTGAAAATTTGGATGTAAAGAAGAAGCTATTTACAGAGCTAGATAAGGTCAGTACAGTATGCAAGAAATATGTATGTTTATCACTCAAAATGTTCTGTAATATGTTTATGTGTGTATATATGTATGAACACGTTGTACTGATCTGGGTGAGAATAGCTTGAGCTACCTCATCCCTTTCTGTGTATTTTACCACGGTAAACTTATTTCAATTTCAATTTCAGTACAGTATGTGGTTGGTTTGTACTGTATTTGTTTAATTTAATTTATTGCATATCTGGGATACTTTTAGGCTTTCGTTAAACAAGTTATTTCATTGTATAAATTTACAGCATGGATAGATTTTTCATTTAAAAATTCTAAAGATATACTTTAATACTGTATGCTGTCTTCTGGTATTGCTGGCAACTTTCTGTGATAACGTTCTTGAAAACTCCTTCAGTAACTTGGTGCTTTACTCTATAATTATTGCACAGTAGATAACTTGACCTGAGATAACTCTCAGGTTATGATGAAGCATTAACGCATTGTCACTAATTTGATCTCGTTGTTACAATGATGCTCTAACGCATCTGATCCCACATATCCTGAAAACTAATTGTTAACCATAATTTGTGCACTTGGTCTGGCCGGTAGAGCAACGGTCTCGCTTCGTCCAAGTTGGCGTTCAATTCCCGTTTGTCCAAGTGGTTGGGCTCCGTTCCTTCTCCCCATCCCATCCCAAATTCTTATCCTGATCCCTTCCAAGTGCTATACTGTATAATTGTAATGGCTTGGCACTTTCTCATAGCTTCCTTCTTATAAGTATCTTGTATCGTTTCATAAATAGGTAACTTGCAGTCCTTCCAACCCATCAGTAATATTATTTCTGCCTCCCTCAACACCACTCAACACCCAAAGGTACACCACACCACCACTTGTCACCATCCATTTGTCTACACCTTTTTTTTGGAGATATATACAAGATTTGTTACATTCTTGTACAGCCACTAGTACACGTAGCGTTTCGGGCAGGTCCCTGGAATACGATCCCCTGCTGCGAAGAATCGTTTTTTCATCCAAGTACACATTTTACTGTTGCGTTAAACAGAGGCTACAGTTAAGGAATTGTGCCCAGTAAATCCTGCCCGGCCAGGATAAGAACCCATGACATAGCGCTCGCGGAACACCAGGCGAGTGTCTTGCCACTACACCACGGAGACTGTGTGACCTATGGCCACACCCCTCCTACAGCCAACCACATGCAGTCCCCCCTTTGTATATAAATATATTAAAATGTTTTTGTAAATATTCATATTGTGTGTATTGCAAGACATGCCTGGCATAGGTATTGATGATCTCCCAAATCCAACCAGCTGTGATTGAAACATACTGTACATCATTTTGGGAAAATCACATTAATGTGATTTCGTTGTGCATGCATCATCTTATTTTTAATTCATATATTGTATTCAGAGACTAACACTTTACTCGATAATTTTGCCTGTGAGAAGTAAACAAATCTATTCTTTTAATTCTGACATATATGATTTCAGGTAGCGCCTTCCCACACCATATTTGCTTCCAACACGTCGTCTTTGTCCATTGGTAAAATAGCAGATGCTACTAACCGTAGGGATCGATTTGGAGGTCTTCATTTCTTCAACCCAGTGCCAGTTATGAAGCTGCTGGAGGTAAGTGTATTGAAGCTTTTAAGGAATGAAAGCTCTTGCTTGCTGGCTTTACTCAAGCTGGCGGTAGTGTGGTGGATGACTGTTCGTTAACACTGTTGCATTGGACACGTTCCCTTACTGTGAAGATTCCGGGCACATATGGTTCCCTTTCTTAATATTGTATTAATAATTTGTATATATTACCTTTGTCATTTAAAATTTTTGTTTTTCTGTCACCTTTGTGGTTATTTTACTATTTAGATTTGGTACTTGGCCCTCCAGTATCTTCCAGGTGTATATTATTTGATATCTCTCTCGTCTTCTTTCTAGTGAGTACATTTGGAGGGCTTTGAGACGATCCCAATAATTTAGGTGCTTTATTGCGTCTATGCGTGCCGTATATGTTCTCTGTACTCCCTCTATTTCAGCAATCTCTCCTGCTTTGAAGGGGGAAGTGAGTACTGAGCAGTACTCAAGACGGGACAACACAAGTGCCTTGAAGAGTACAACCATTGTGATGGGATCCCTGGATTTGAAAGTTCTCGTAATCCATCCTATCATTTTTCTGGCTGTCGCAATATTTGCTTGGTTATGCTCCTTAAACGTTAGGTCGTCCGACATTATTATTCCCAAATCCTTTACATGCTGTTTTCCTACTATGGGTACATTTGATTGTGTTTTGTACTCTGTATTATGTTTAAGGTCCTCATTTTTACCGTACCTGAGTACCTGGAATTTATCACTGTTAAACATCATGTTATTTTCTGATGCCCAGTCGAAAACTTTATTAATATCAGCTTGAAGTTTTTCAATGTCCTCAGCCGAGGTAATTTTCATACTGATTTTTGTGTCATCTGCAAAGGATGATATGAAGCTGTGACTTGTATTTTTGTCTATATCTGATATGAGAATAAGGGAAAGCAGTGGTGCAAGGACTGTACCCTGAGGTACAGAGCTTTTCACTGCACTTGGACTAGATTTTATATGGTTGACAGTTACTCGCTGAGTCCTGTTTGACAGAAAACTGAGTATCCAGCGTCCTACTTTACCGGTTATTCCCATTGACTTCATTTTGTGTGCTATCACGCCATGGTCACATTTATCGAAGGCCTTTGCGAAGTCCGTGTATATCACATCAGCATTCTGTTTCTCTTCTAATGCCTCAGTGACTTTGTCGTAGTGCTCAAGTAGCTGTGAGAGGCACGATCTTCCCGCTCGAAATCCATGTTGGCCTGGGTTATGAAGGTCATTGGTCTCCATGAAATTGGTGACCTGACTCCTAATCACTCTCTCAAATACTTTTATGATGTGCGATGTTAGTGCAACTGGTCTATAATTTTTTGCCAATGCTTTGCTCCCTCCCTTGTGTAGAGGGGCTATGTCTGCTACTTTAAGTGCATCTGGTATCTCCCCCGTGTCCAAGCTCTTCCTCCACACTATACTGAGTGCCTGTGCTACCGGCACTTTGCATTTCTTTATAAATATTGAATTCCATGAGTCTGGACCTGGGGCCGAGTGCATGGGCATGTTTTCAATTTCTTTTTCAAAATTTAGTGCGCTCGTGTTTATATCAGTTATATTTACCGGGGTTTGAATATCCCGCATAAAGAAAATGTCTGGATCTTCCACCTTCATGTTGTTTATTGGAGTGCTAAACATGTCCTCATACTGCTTTTTTAGGATTTCACTAATTTCTTTGTCATCCTCCGTGTATGAACCTTCACTTGTACGAATAGGTCCAATACTGGCAGTGGTTTTTGCTTTTGATTTCGCATATGAGAAGAAATATTTTGGATTTTTCTTTATTTCCTGAATTGCTTTCTGTTCTAACTGCCTTTCTTCAGTTTCATATGAGTGTTTCAATTTCCGCTCGATTTCTTCAATCTCCCTATTTAAATTATTCCTTCTTTGACGGGAAATTCGTGTCTGCATAAGCAGTTCCGTTATTTTTTTCCTGCGTTTATAGTGTCGTCTGCGTTCTCTTTCTACGTTAGATCTCTTTCTGGCTTTCCTCAAAGGAACATGTTTCAGACAGACTTGATACGCTTCTGAAGTAAGTTTTTCTATTCCTTCTGTAGGACTTGTATTATTTAGAACAGTTCCCCATGGAATGTTTGTAAGTTCCCTGTTTATTATCTCCCAGTCTATCCTTTTATTATTAAAATTGAATTTACTGAATAGCCCCTCTCGCTTTATCAACGTTTTAGGTCTATTCTGAGTATTGATGGTCGTTTGCACTTCAATGAGTTTGTGATCTGAGTATGTGGTATCTGATATCGTAATGTCTCTGATAATGTCTTCATTGTTCGTAAAGACCAGATCTAGAATATTTTCATTTCTCGTTGGCTCCGATATCTGCTGATTGAGTGAAAATTTGTCACAGAATCTAAGTAGTTCTCTAATCTGTGGTTGGTTAGGTCCTGATAGATTTCCTGGTATAATATTATTGTTTGCTATTTTCCACCTGAGACTAGGCAAGTTGAAGTCACCTAGGAAAATAATATCAGGTATCGGGTTCTCCAAATTATCAAGGCTATTCTCTATTTTGCTTATCTGTTCTGTGAATTCCTCAGCCGTTGCATCTGGCGGTTTGTATATTAGTATAATCACTAAATTTATTTTCTCTATTTTTAATCCCAGTACCTCTACCACCTCATTTGTAACGTTTAGGAGCTCCGAGCATACAAGGTCTTCCCTAATATACAGACCCACTCCTCCATGTGACCTAATTTTCCTATCACACCACTATTTGTAAATTCTGTTTGTCTTATTGTTGATATATACTAGTTAATATTTTTGTACTAAATTTATAATTTGATTAACCAATCATTGTAATACATTAATACATTATTTTAATTGTCTGCTTCACATATAAAGCAGTCAACTCGCTACCAATTGGTCCTGGGTTCAATTCCCAGGCAGGGCAAGACATTTGGGCGAGTATGAGAGAATGCATCATTTACATGACAGGACACTAACTAAAATAGTTTTACTTTTAAAATGAAGCAGAAAATAGGAAAATGCAAAAACACATTTTTGTCTTCTTGTTCTTCTACACATCGGGAGGAAGCCAGTTGGGGGAGTTAGTATAACACTTTGGCGTCCTGGTGATGCTCTCGGTGTCATTAAAACAATACACACAGAGTGGGTGATGATGCTCTCGGCATCATGCATTAATGTTTGGTTATTCGTATTATTAAGTACAGAATAAATATTGTAAGGGAAAGAGTTTGGACATTGGGTTGTGTGCTTACCGTTAATGCCCAGCCTACCTTCCGGAGTGATGTGGGTGGCCCACTGAGCATTCCAACAGTAAAATTAATGAGCCTCTGGACATGTTTATACTCAGCTTGATGACTCGTCATATAGGGATAAGGGGTCGGGTGTTCAAGTATAGGTGGTTCACTACATGGCTTCCTATCACTGCTGTGTTCAATGGATGTTCACAGGAGCTCAATGAGACATTAATTTGCATGCACAACATTCAAAATTTAAATGTTTAGGTAAAAGTACATACAGTGTACATAGAAGATGAGTTACAAACATAATGTTGGATTTATAGATAGAGCTAGTACATAAAATACCTAAAGCCACTAATACACACAGCATTTTGGGCAAGGTGTGGGGGAAAAAAACACTTGGACTAAAACTTAATACTAATTGAGATTAAAGTATAAATTGAGTGTGAAGGGGGGGAGGGGGGGGGGGAACATGGCAGAAATTAGAAATTAAGCAAGTTGGTATTGTTTGAAAATAGCAAGACATGGGTTGACATTTAGGGGGTAAGGAAGGTTACATGGAGTTTATTAGGTGTGTTTGACATGTGCTGTAAAATAATCACACTCGTGGATTGACCTGACGTGATTCTGACACGTTATAAAATAATCACACACACATGGATTGACCTGACATGAGTCTGACATGTGTTGTAAAATAATCACACATGTGGAGTGCCTGGACGTGCCTGATCTTGCAATTCCAGGTTCGAACACTTACTTTTAAAATCTTCATATTCCATTACTCTATAATAACCATGCATCAACTAATCATGATTGTTAATGCCATGAATTGTACTGATAATTTATTTCTTGATTAATACAATATAACAAGGATGTGAAATAACTGAAGGAAATTTGGGTCATTATGCATTGTTTTGATATTATTATTACACAGGTTGTGCGCATCGCAGAAACGTCACAAGACACTTACGAAGCAATGTGTAGTTGGGGCAAAGCCATGGGCAAGGTGACTGTGGAGTGCAAGGACACACCTGGATTTATTGTCAATCGTCTGCTAGTGCCATACATGTTTGAAGCCGTTAGGATTCTGGAAAGAGGTAAGCAACTTCTTCAGACTATTTAGTGTTTTCTTTGTCTGAATTCAGTATGTTTACACAATGTAACTCACATTTTGTTCCTGAGTTGTGTTATTTACTATTTGCTTATGCCTCTGAAATATATAAAATGGCTATTAATTCCCCCTCAAACTTTGAATTTTGTGACCTGGACAGTCAGATTTTGACATTTGCCTATTTCCAATGAGATAAAGGGCAAATTTGCATCTTTTCATTGGTGTCCTTGCTGTGGCAGAGACAAAGATAGCAGGGAAACTTTGTAAAAATCACCTTGGATGCCCATCAGGAGTGCCACCATTTTGATGTCCCCAATGACCTTCCAACTGTACTCATCATACTTTAAGATGTCCCGCAGGGTCTTCATGCTGTTGTAATCCTCTTTGAGGTGTACCAAGTGAGTCATGGGGGGGAAAAGACAGGTTCTTGTTCCCATTATGGGGTTTCTCCAAGTTTATGCAGCACTAGATCGATCTGCAATGTTCTGGGAAATAGGTAAATTTTAAAATATCGCTGTCCTAGTCACAAGGGCAATGAGCCTGTGGACATTGTGAGGGAACAATAGCCGTATTCTATACTTTAAAGAAATAAGCAATTGGTAAATAATGCTTATTATCCAAGAGCAAAAGATATTGTTAATGAATTGATGATTATTCATCATATGTTCATCTAACATGAGAAACCTTTTCAGTACACTCTTCTCAATCTTGCTGTTAATTAACTTTTTGTACTCCTCATCTTTACACAACATTTTAATTTCTTACTCTATCCTCCAAACACTGCAATTGTTCTCAGATTTGTCCAGTCCTTGTATTGCTCTGGCTTCATCTCCTACTGTTTTGGCCTTTATAACTAGGGCTGTCACTTTCCTTTTGGCTTCACTTCCACAATTTCTTCTTTTGTCAGTCACATACTCTGGGTATTTACTTGTCAGTCACTTCTAGCACATCTCTATTCACTAAATTTATTACATAGAATTGTCTTTTCCTTTCATCATAAAAGTTACTTTTCTTCATATTCACTTGTAAGTCTTCTTTCATACACCAGTAAAATTGTCAACAAGTTTACAAAAATTATCCTATCTCACACTGCTAAAGTGATGGAGTAAAGCAATGACAAAAAAATTATAAACCTATCACACTAATGTCAAACATGTTTTGAGATAGTGATTAGGATCCACATCTTATTTTTTTTATGGTGAGAATATTTAGTTTTTTAGATCAACTAAACCACTATAACAAAATCAATGAAGAATTAGGAGAAACCTAGAATGTTAAATATACAGGTAATTGCAAAGATATTTATTAAATGTGATCATGGAGTAATAATTCATAAAATGAGATCCAGAGGAACAAGATACAGTGGGTTGTCCCCAATATTTATTAAATTTTCTGAAATGGGTTGTACAGAATAATGGTAAACCATGCATAATCCTGTCCAATTAATAAAAGCTCTATATCACAAGGGTTCTTTTGTCACTTTTCTCTCTCTCTCTCATCTCTCTTTTAAAGACAGATATGTAAACCACAGCTTTGTGTCATCCATTGCAGATAACAACTTGGATATGCTTAAATAAATAAATAAATAAATATATATATATATATATATATATATATATATATATATATATATATATATATATATATATATATATATATATATATATATATATATATATATATGCGAACAAGCCTGAATGGTCCCCAGGACAATATGCAACTGAAAACTCACACCCCAGAAGTGACTCGAACCCATACTCCCAGAAGCAACGCAACTGGTATGTACAAGACGCCTTAATCCACTTGACCATCACGACCGGACATAATGAGGTGATAGCCGAGGCTATTTGAACCACCCCACCGCCGGCACTCGGATAGTAATCTTGGGCATAGCATTTTACCAAATCACCTCATTCTTTGGGGCACACGTGAGGAACACAAATGCGAACAAGCCTGAATGGTCCCCAGGACAATATGCAACTGAAAACTCACACCCCAGAAGTGACTCGAACCCATACTCCCAGAAGCAACGCAACTGGTATGTACAAGACGCCTTAATCCACTTGACCATCACGACCGGACATAATGAGGTGATAGCCGAGGCTATTTGAACCACCCCACCGCCGGCACTCGGATAGTAATCTTGGGCATAGCATTTTACCAAATCACCTCATTCTTTGGGGCACACGTGAGGAACACAAATGCGAACAAGCCTGAATGGTCCCCAGGACAATATGCAACTGAAAACTCACACCCCAGAAGTGACTCGAACCCATACTCCCAGAAGCAACGCAACTGGTATGTACAAGACGCCTTAATCCACTTGACCATCACGACCGGACATAGGATAAAATGTCCATAGGACATGGGTTCGAGTCACTTCTGGGGTGTGAGTTTTCAGTTGCATATTGTCCTGGGGACCATTCAGGCTTGTTCGCATTTGTGTTCCTCACGTGTGCCCCAAAGAATGAGGTGATTTGGTAAAATGCTATGCCCAAGATTACTATCCGAGTGCCGGCGGTGGGGTGGTTCAAATAGCCTCGGCTATCACCTCATTATGTCCGGTCGTGATGGTCAAGTGGATTAAGGCGTCTTGTACATACCAGTTGCGTTGCTTCTGGGAGTATGGGTTCGAGTCACTTCTGGGGTGTGAGTTTTCAGTTGCATATTGTCCTGGGGACCATTCAGGCTTGTTCGCATTTGTGTTCCTCACGTGTGCCCCAAAGAATGAGGTGATTTGGTAAAATGCTATGCCCAAGATTACTATCCGAGTGCCGGCGGTGGGGTGGTTCAAATAGCCTCGGCTATCACCTCATTATGTCCGGTCGTGATGGTCAAGTGGATTAAGGCGTCTTGTACATACCAGTTGCGTTGCTTCTGGGAGTATGGGTTCGAGTCACTTCTGGGGTGTGAGTTTTCAGTTGCATATTGTCCTGGGGACCATTCAGACTTGTTCGCATTTGTGTTCCTCACGTGTGCCCCAAAGAATGAGGTGATTTGGTAAAATGCTATGCCCAAGATTACTATCCGAGTGCCGGCGGTGGGGTGGTTCAAATAGCCTCGGCTATCACCTCATTATGTCCGGTCGTGATGGTCAAGTGGATTAAGGCGTCTTGTACATACCAGTTGCGTTGCTTCTGGGAGTATGGGTTCGAGTCACTTCTGGGGTGTGAGTTTTCAGTTATATATATATATATATATATATATATATATATATATATATATATATATATATATATATATATATATATATATATATATATATATATATATATAACTGAAAACTCACACCCCAGAAGTGACTCGAACCCATACTCCCACAACTGGTATGTACAGGGACGCCTTAATCCGCTTGACCATCACGACCGGACATAAGGAAGTGATAGCCGAGGCTATATGAACCACTTCCCCGCCGGCACTCGGATGGTTATCTTGGGCATAGCATTTTATCAAATCACCTCATTCTTTGGGGCACACGTGAGGAACACAAATGCAAACAAGCCTGAATGGTCCCCAGGACTATATACAACTGAAAACTCACACCCCAGAAGTGACTCGAACCCATACTCCCACAACTGGTATGTACAGGGACGCCTTAATCCGCTTGACCATCACGACCGGACATAAGGAAGTGATAGCCGAGGCTATATGAACCACTTCCCCGCCGGCACTCGGATGGTTATCTTGGGCATAGCATTTTATCAAATCACCTCATTCTTTGGGGCACACGTGAGGAACACAAATGCAAACAAGCCTGAATGGTCCCCAGGACTATATACAACTGAAAACTCACACCCCAGAAGTGACTCGAACCCATACTCCCACAACTGGTATGTACAGGGACGCCTTAATCCGCTTGACCATCACGACCGGACATAAGGAAGTGATAGCCGAGGCTATATGAACCACTTCCCCGCCGGCACTCGGATGGTTATCTTGGGCATAGCATTTTATCAAATCACCTCATTCTTTGGGGCACACGTGAGGAACACAAATGCAAACAAGCCTGAATGGTCCCCAGGACTATATACAACTGAAAACTCACACCCCAGAAGTGACTCGAACCCATACTCCCACAACTGGTATGTACAGGGACGCCTTAATCCGCTTGACCATCACGACCGGACATAAGGAAGTGATAGCCGAGGCTATATGAACCACTTCCCCGCCGGCACTCGGATGGTTATCTTGGGCATAGCATTTTATCAAATCACCTCATTCTTTGGGGCACACGTGAGGAACACAAATGCAAACAAGCCTGAATGGTCCCCAGGACTATATACAACTGAAAACTCACACCCCAGAAGTGACTCGAACCCATACTCCCACAACTGGTATGTACAGGGACGCCTTAATCCGCTTGACCATCACGACCGGACATAAGGAAGTGATAGCCGAGGCTATATGAACCACTTCCCCGCCGGCACTCGGATGGTTATCTTGGGCATAGCATTTTATCAAATCACCTCATTCTTTGGGGCACACGTGAGGAACACAAATGCAAACAAGCCTGAATGGTCCCCAGGACTATATACAACTGAAAACTCACACCCCAGAAGTGACTCGAACCCATACTCCCACAACTGGTATGTACAGGGACGCCTTAATCCGCTTGACCATCACGACCGGACATAAGGAAGTGATAGCCGAGGCTATATGAACCACTTCCCCGCCGGCACTCGGATGGTTATCTTGGGCATAGCATTTTATCAAATCACCTCATTCTTTGGGGCACACGTGAGGAACACAAATGCAAACAAGCCTGAATGGTCCCCAGGACTATATACAACTGAAAACTCACACCCCAGAAGTGACTCGAACCCATACTCCCACAACTGGTATGTACAGGGACGCCTTAATCCGCTTGACCATCACGACCGGACATAAGGAAGTGATAGCCGAGGCTATATGAACCACTTCCCCGCCGGCACTCGGATGGTTATCTTGGGCATAGCATTTTATCAAATCACCTCATTCTTTGGGGCACACGTGAGGAACACAAATGCAAACAAGCCTGAATGGTCCCCAGGACTATATACAACTGAAAACTCACACCCCAGAAGTGACTCGAACCCATACTCCCACAACTGGTATGTACAGGGACGCCTTAATCCGCTTGACCATCACGACCGGACATAAGGAAGTGATAGCCGAGGCTATATGAACCACTTCCCCGCCGGCACTCGGATGGTTATCTTGGGCATAGCATTTTATCAAATCACCTCATTCTTTGGGGCACACGTGAGGAACACAAATGCAAACAAGCCTGAATGGTCCCCAGGACTATATACAACTGAAAACTCACACCCCAGAAGTGACTCGAACCCATACTCCCACAACTGGTATGTACAGGGACGCCTTAATCCGCTTGACCATCACGACCGGACATAAGGAAGTGATAGCCGAGGCTATATGAACCACTTCCCCGCCGGCACTCGGATGGTTATCTTGGGCATAGCATTTTATCAAATCACCTCATTCTTTGGGGCACACGTGAGGAACACAAATGCAAACAAGCCTGAATGGTCCCCAGGACTATATACAACTGAAAACTCACACCCCAGAAGTGACTCGAACCCATACTCCCACAACTGGTATGTACAGGGACGCCTTAATCCGCTTGACCATCACGACCGGACATAAGGAAGTGATAGCCGAGGCTATATGAACCACTTCCCCGCCGGCACTCGGATGGTTATCTTGGGCATAGCATTTTATCAAATCACCTCATTCTTTGGGGCACACGTGAGGAACACAAATGCAAACAAGCCTGAATGGTCCCCAGGACTATATACAACTGAAAACTCACACCCCAGAAGTGACTCGAACCCATACTCCCACAACTGGTATGTACAGGGACGCCTTAATCCGCTTGACCATCACGACCGGACATAAGGAAGTGATAGCCGAGGCTATATGAACCACTTCCCCGCCGGCACTCGGATGGTTATCTTGGGCATAGCATTTTATCAAATCACCTCATTCTTTGGGGCACACGTGAGGAACACAAATGCAAACAAGCCTGAATGGTCCCCAGGACTATATACAACTGAAAACTCACACCCCAGAAGTGACTCGAACCCATACTCCCACAACTGGTATGTACAGGGACGCCTTAATCCGCTTGACCATCACGACCGGACATAAGGAAGTGATAGCCGAGGCTATATGAACCACTTCCCCGCCGGCACTCGGATGGTTATCTTGGGCATAGCATTTTATCAAATCACCTCATTCTTTGGGGCACACGTGAGGAACACAAATGCAAACAAGCCTGAATGGTCCCCAGGACTATATACAACTGAAAACTCACACCCCAGAAGTGACTCGAACCCATACTCCCACAACTGGTATGTACAGGGACGCCTTAATCCGCTTGACCATCACGACCGGACATAAGGAAGTGATAGCCGAGGCTATATGAACCACTTCCCCGCCGGCACTCGGATGGTTATCTTGGGCATAGCATTTTATCAAATCACCTCATTCTTTGGGGCACACGTGAGGAACACAAATGCAAACAAGCCTGAATGGTCCCCAGGACTATATACAACTGAAAACTCACACCCCAGAAGTGACTCGAACCCATACTCCCACAACTGGTATGTACAGGGACGCCTTAATCCGCTTGACCATCACGACCGGACATAAGTGCCGGCGGGGAAGTGGTTCATATAGCCTCGGCTATCACTTCCTTATGTCCGGTCGTGATGGTCAAGCGGATTAAGGCGTCCCTGTACATACCAGTTGTGGGAGTATGGGTTCGAGTCACTTCTGGGGTGTGAGTTTTCAGTTGTATATAGTCCTGGGGACCATTCAGGCTTGTTTGCATTTGTGTTCCTCACGTGTGCCCCAAAGAATGAGGTGATTTGATAAAATGCTATGCCCAAGATAACCATCCGAGTGCCGGCGGGGAAGTGGTTCATATAGCCTCGGCTATCACTTCCTTATGTCCGGTCGTGATGGTCAAGCGGATTAAGGCGTCCCTGTACATACCAGTTGTGGGAGTATGGGTTCGAGTCACTTCTGGGGTGTGAGTTTTCAGTTGTATATAGTCCTGGGGACCATTCAGGCTTGTTTGCATTTGTGTTCCTCACGTGTGCCCCAAAGAATGAGGTGATTTGATAAAATGCTATGCCCAAGATAACCATCCGAGTGCCGGCGGGGAAGTGGTTCATATAGCCTCGGCTATCACTTCCTTATGTCCGGTCGTGATGGTCAAGCGGATTAAGGCGTCCCTGTACATACCAGTTGTGGGAGTATGGGTTCGAGTCACTTCTGGGGTGTGAGTTTTCAGTTGTATATAGTCCTGGGGACCATTCAGGCTTGTTTGCATTTGTGTTCCTCACGTGTGCCCCAAAGAATGAGGTGATTTGATAAAATGCTATGCCCAAGATAACCATCCGAGTGCCGGCGGGGAAGTGGTTCATATAGCCTCGGCTATCACTTCCTTATGTCCGGTCGTGATGGTCAAGCGGATTAAGGCGTCCCTGTACATACCAGTTGTGGGAGTATGGGTTCGAGTCACTTCTGGGGTGTGAGTTTTCAGTTGTATATAGTCCTGGGGACCATTCAGGCTTGTTTGCATTTGTGTTCCTCACGTGTGCCCCAAAGAATGAGGTGATTTGATAAAATGCTATGCCCAAGATAACCATCCGAGTGCCGGCGGGGAAGTGGTTCATATAGCCTCGGCTATCACTTCCTTATGTCCGGTCGTGATGGTCAAGCGGATTAAGGCGTCCCTGTACATACCAGTTGTGGGAGTATGGGTTCGAGTCACTTCTGGGGTGTGAGTTTTCAGTTGTATATAGTCCTGGGGACCATTCAGGCTTGTTTGCATTTGTGTTCCTCACGTGTGCCCCAAAGAATGAGGTGATTTGATAAAATGCTATGCCCAAGATAACCATCCGAGTGCCGGCGGGGAAGTGGTTCATATAGCCTCGGCTATCACTTCCTTATGTCCGGTCGTGATGGTCAAGCGGATTAAGGCGTCCCTGTACATACCAGTTGTGGGAGTATGGGTTCGAGTCACTTCTGGGGTGTGAGTTTTCAGTTGTATATAGTCCTGGGGACCATTCAGGCTTGTTTGCATTTGTGTTCCTCACGTGTGCCCCAAAGAATGAGGTGATTTGATAAAATGCTATGCCCAAGATAACCATCCGAGTGCCGGCGGGGAAGTGGTTCATATAGCCTCGGCTATCACTTCCTTATGTCCGGTCGTGATGGTCAAGCGGATTAAGGCGTCCCTGTACATACCAGTTGTGGGAGTATGGGTTCGAGTCACTTCTGGGGTGTGAGTTTTCAGTTGTATATAGTCCTGGGGACCATTCAGGCTTGTTTGCATATATATATATATATATATATATATATATATATATATATATATATATATATATATATATATATATATATATATATATATATATATATATATATATATATATATATATATATATATATATATATATATATATATATATATATATATATATATATATATATATATATATATATATATATATCCACAAAGAAATGGGATTTCTGAAAGCAGACACATGGCTCCCAGCATCCAGTTAGCTTAGAGTCAAGGTGTTGGTACCAGTCTCTGTTCACCCACTAACTCTTAGGGTCTACCAATAATCAGCAACCAGTACAAAGTAGCATCCATACATTAATCCATATTTATTAGCCCCTCCCCCCTGCCCTCTGAGCAAATGGCCTGGTTAGCACCAAACCTAACATACCCTACCAGGCCCGTACGAGTCAAGAACACCCAAGTCATAAAACTCATTATAACCTGAGCCAATTCTTTATCCCATGACATCTTGTCCTGCCTAACTGTATGTGATCTTGGCTGCTACACATTGAATTTTTATCCTAGTGGCCAACCAAATCATTCATCTCACAAAAGTACTTTTATTTTTTAACACAAGTGACTGTTTAGTTATTATCATATATTTTGTGATATAAAAGTTGTGATTAACACTGTGCATAGCATAATGTAAGTAGGAATTTTTTTTATTGGCTGTTATAAGCAAAAGACGCTTGCCTATTTATTTCAGGTGATGCTAGTGCCCGTGATATTGACACTGCAATGAAACTTGGTGCCGGTTACCCAATGGGACCCTTTGAGCTCATGGACTATGTTGGTCTTGACACTGGGAAATTCATTGTTGATGGTAAGATGATTTTATTTAGTTTACATTTTTATTTTGTATTGCTTGTATTAGTTATATCCAGAATCCCTGAAGGGAGAAGGTTGTCTGGATAGTTAGCTTGGCTAAAATCTGCAGACAATACATTAATATCCCACAAATATAAAGATTTTGTAAGAGTGATTAGGAGTCAGATATCCAGTTTCATAGAGAACAATGAACTTCACAATCCAGGACATCATGGATTTAGAGCAGGAAGATCTTAACACTTTGGCGTACCCCGCACGCCACCCCTCAACTGTGCGATTTGGGCCCCAGGGTGTCACGGGAGCGCGCGTAAATTCTGAAAAGTGTATACTCTCTTCAACTTTGTCACCTCAATTCTCATCCTACGAGATTAAATTTGGTATCATTGTGTTCGCAATAGAATTCTCTACAGCACTAAATGCATATAAACTCCAAAAGCCCGGCTAATTACCCGCAGCAAACAGAGAAAGTGCGAACGAGTTACCCAGGAGCGAGCAAACGCGATAAAATGTTTTCACTATTTTCACTCTGGTCACCTCAATTTTCGTCCTAGGTCTTTCATTTTGGTCTCAATGGGTTTGCAATAGAATTCTCTAGAGGAACATTTGCATATAAAATAAAAAACCTGGTCACGCTCCAACCGCCGACGAGTTGAAGACGGGCCATGCGTTAGCCGCGAGTGAGCGCTCAGATGCCTTCCAGCTACACTCCCAATTCCCGCCCTTTTCAAGCCTTTCTTTCGCAAATTTCTTCCTGGAAGGGCCTTGTTCATGATCACTATCCATCGTGGAGTAAGCGTAGATAGTTTCTAAAGCCGCAGTAAGAAATATAGCCACGGAAAATAGCCGAAATGTTCACACGTTTGAGATGCGAGGGGAGGCGACATTGGTCACAACAGTGGAGCGAAAACAATGGGCCGACGGCGTGTGCCGAGCCGCCTGCGGGCCACGAGGTGCAACAAGGAAAATGGGAAGACATCGGCACGCATTTTAAAACCAGTCCCAAAAAAATCGGATAAAAACCTGATTTTTGGCGATTATTTAAAGTGGATGACGCAATACTGCGTCATCCCCGGCATCACCGACAGTAAACGGATGACGCAATGCTGCGTCATGCCCGGGCGAAAGTATTAATAAAATGATAGGATGGATTACAAGAACATTAAAATCCATTGATCCTTTAGCAATGTTAATATTTGAATCACCGGTGCTGTCCTGCCTTGAGATGTGCTTGGTATTTGTTTCCACTTTCAGAGCAGGAGAGATTGCTGAAATAGAGGGAATACAGACTGCATAGGATGATGTGTGATAATTATTATTTGTGCTTGGGGCTCTACTACCCAAAATCACTTACGTCCTCTAATTACTCAACACAAAGCTGCTATTAGGACAATATCCAACTCTGGCCCCAGACATCACTCGGTACCCCTACTCAAATCTCTGAATATGTTAGACATTAAGTCACTGCACATTCTCTCATGTGTATTATACATATATAAAATGCTAAACTATAATGCCAATCCTGATCTCAAACGCTTCATAGAAGGTTGTAACAGAACCCATGAGCACTACACCAGAAATAAATACAATTTTGATATTCCTAGAGTACGACTTAATCAAACTAGAAATGCTCTACAAATCAAGGGGCCCAGAATGTGGAATGACCTTCCCAACCATGTTAAAGACTGTACCTCTCTCAACCAGTTTAAGATAAAAACGAAGCTATCCCTAATAAATTCCCTGTAACCTACCTTACCCTTCTATTGTCAACCAATGTCTGTTTTTTTTAAAGAGCTCTGTTTGTCGACATAATTGTATTTGTGCTGCTTTTTCAGCTGTTTTCATTTCTTGTTTTCATTCTACTCTTTATGCTCAATTAGTATTAAGCTTGTCATTTAAGTTTTTCATGCCCGAAACGCTTTGCGTAATAGTGGCTTTAGGCATTGTATGTACTAGCTCTACCTATAAGTCAACCAATCTTTGTAAAAATTTCTTGTATGTATGTACCTTACCTAAATAAACATTTATTTATTTATTTATTTTATTTTATTTATTATTAATTATATTATTATTATAATTACAGTATTATAATAATAATTGTTGTATTTAATAATTATCACTCTTCCTTTTGCTTGGTCTTGAAGGAAGCTGAAAGAGGGCTGTGACGATCTCTCTGTAACCCGTAGGTGCGAGACTGGGAAGTCCACCTCCTGAGGCTCGTGCAGCCCAAGTTCTCCTTCAGGAGGCTGGGGGTTGTTCTTTCCCTTGATGGGGTGGTTCTTCTCCAGCCTCGACCTCGACGGTCTCTGGGTTTGGAGTCCGTATGCCTTTTTCACCAACTCCGAGGTCAACTCCGGAGCTCACAGTTCCTGCGACGGTGCTGGAACCAATCGTATTGGCGTTTGCCTTTCCATTGGAGACTTTCAGGGCCATGGAGAGGGGGGGGGGGAGGACCTGCTGCTTGGGTAACAGCTTCTCCTCCATATCAGCCTACTGGAGAGGCCACTCCAGACCGACAGCCAGAGCGCAACCCCATAGTCTCCGGAGACTGATGGATGCCTACTACTACGATGGTCATCCTTCGGGGTCGAAGATGACCATGACTTCAATATATCAGGTCGAAGGTCGGTGGCTGTGTCAGATGGAGAATGAGACCAATCTGAGTCCGGAAGGCTCGCCCACACATGTCCCATGTGTGTGTGTGTGTGGGTGGGTGCTACTATAGAGGTGGAGGTTGCTCTAGCTTTGTGCACAGTCAATTTCCTCTGGGCCTCTGCAGTCTGTCTATTTTCTGCTGCACGGGCCCCCTGTAGTGACTTTGATTTTCCAAGTTGGATGGTCTTGAGCAAGTGACTCCCAAGTACAGGTATTGAGGTTGATGTCCAAGTCTTTGAGGGACCTTCAGGAAGTCCTTGAATCGTTTCTTCTGCTCCCCAACTGAACACATGCCCTGGCATAATTCTCCATACATCAGCTGTTTAGGCAGTCTGCTGTCAGGCATTCTGACAACATGGCTTGCCCATCAGGCCAGAGTTTTCTGTAGGAGGGTGTAGACACTCTGGGAATACTGGCCCCTTCCAGGACCTCCGTGTCTGGGATTTTGTCCTGCCACCTGATGTGGAGGAGTCTACAGAGACAGCTCAAGTGAAAGGGATTTAGCTGTTTGACGTGTCTGCTGTAGACAGTCCAGGTCTCAAGCATAGAGAAAGGTGGGGTATTCCAGGCGCGCGTTGCGCCTGGAATCATGTAATGTTTGACAAGAAAGGTGGGGAAAGGGTAGGGTATTCCAGGCGTGGGTTGGTACACAACTTCAGTCTTTTTGGTGCTGGTGATGAGACCAAAGTTGTCGCAGGCTTGTGAGAAGTAGTCCAAATTTTGCTGTGTTAGTGGAACTCATATTTTTATCACCCTATTTTTATAGCTAGATATACCAGCTTGGGTATTCCTCTCATATGACTGAACTACCATATATATTTTTTGTTTCATTGCATTAGTCATCCATCAACAGCTTCGTTTCCCCAGGTTGGCACAAGGAGTTCCCAGATGACCCCCTCTTCAAACCATCTCCTGTAATGGATAAATTAGTGAAAGAGGGTAAACTAGGAGTGAAGACTGGTGAAGGATTCTACACCTACAAGAAATAATGGTGCAACACAGGAGATACAGAGAATATATTTTTAGATGGAAAGCCCAGCAACACACTGGATGAAAGTGTCCTCTGTATTATACAAATCATATGAGCATACTACGCTCATTCTTGGAATGATAGAAGTCTGTTCCCAAGACATAATTTATTATACAATACAAGAGTGTTTGTCACTATTATATAAGTATACTGGCAGAGGGGTGGATATGCACATCAATGCAATATTATATAAAAGTAATTAATATTAAAATGTCTTTTATAGGTTTGTATAGACTATTTAATTATATGAAAAGTAATTAATGTTTGACAAACAAAAATTCAAATAAAAGTTTTTCATTATTTTAAAGATTTTTCTTATTTTCATCAGTACCTAATACGTTTGGTTATCTAAGCATGAAATACATTATTTTAATGCACGTGCACTAGACAACCCTTGCGCAATATCTTGAGAGACTTGGTGCGTTAACTTGAAATTTTAATCTGTATATGAGTGTTAGTCCAAGGTTGGAGGCCAAGGCTCTTCGGGCTAGCCTCACCATTGCAGGGGGGGAAGGGTCTGAGGTACAGGACGGACATAGGTTGGTCAGGGTCGGCATAAGTTAAATACTTCAAGAAATACTAGAACTTATAGAGATGCCCATGTGATTTTCATTTAGTTAAGTGTGAAATATTTGGTGTGATTCCCATAGTATTTCAGTGCTTCATAATGATACATTATCTGAGAGAAAAGTGAAGGGGAGAAGAGACCCTTGTAACATTTTATTGTTACATCAATTGTGGTGACAATAAACAGAGATAGTAATAAAAAATATATATTTGGACTAATGTAGTCTACAGAAGCTTGCAGGTGAAGCTTGGCGAGTCAGTGAGTTGAGTGCATGCTGAATGTCGATGGTGTGATGGAAAGTCGAGTGCATGGAAATATTGATGGTGTGACAGTGAGTTGGTGAGTCAAGTGCACACTGATTATTAATGGTGTTAAAGATGTGCAATATCTCTCTAGTATCTGTACTGAACAATTCTAGGAATTAGACTGATGAAGATTGATTGTTGAAGATTAGACCACCCAAGAGGAAGCACGGGCATGAATAGCCCGTAAAACTAACTCGATGATTTCCTATCGACTGCTTATATTACCAGTCCTACACCTCGACTGACCATCCTCTAGCAGGTTTGGGAAGAGGTATTAACTGTAATTAGTGGACTAAGTAGAATTAACAGACCCCTCTCATTATCTGCACATGAGCTAATGAGAGTATGGAGCAAGTATATTACTGATATAATAAACTTGATACACTCGGGTATAGCTGGGTACCCCAACATTGCATATAAATGACAATGCTGTAACTGCTTACCCATGTATAGTACTTCAAATACAAATTATGGCTAACAGAATCTAAATACCTAACCTAACCTATGCATAAATTTGTGTAATATGCTAATATATAGTAGGCATCCATCAGTCATATGAGACTATGGAGTTGTGCTCTGGTTGTCAGTCTGGAGTGGCCTCTCCAGGGTGCAAAGCCAGGGTAGGTTTGTAACATACGATTATGTTATGTTGTTGGACAGATTAGATACACAGCGTTTAGTGGGTTTCACCTTTATTTAGTCTTGATTACAGCAGTCGGTTATTGGTGGTGTTGTAGACGTTGAGACGGAGCTTGGAGCAGAGCAGAGAGCTGAGTGAGGCCAGAGTCGCGGAGCTCTATGCGGAATCATGAGTGTCTAAACTCAATAGGGAACGAGAGCATTGTAGCTCGATGCAGTCGTAGTCTGCTGTCTGCTGTGTCGAAGCTGGAGCATCTTAGGGTCGATTAGAACTGCTTACACCGAGTGCTACATTTTTGAGGTTGAAGGTGTGTGGTAAATCCGAAGTGTCTGTACTGAAGTTAACTGAATCACTGGAAATTGTACTGTTTGCTATTCGTTGTTGATGTTGTATTCAGCTACTGGGAACAAAAAAGTTCCAAGTAGCACGGGCTATGGTGAGCCCGTAGTGGACTTACCTGGCCCAGGAGCGGGGCTTTAACTTGTGGCTATTCGATTGATTGATTGATGAAGATTAAGCCACCCAAAAGGTGGCACATGCATGAATAGCCCGTAAGTGGTGGCCCTTTTGAGCCATTACCAGTATCAAGAGCTGATACTGGAGATCTGGAGGTGCGACTGCACCCTGCGTGACGGGAGATGTCTCCCGGACCAAATGGTGACCAAATGGTGACCAAATGGTGACCAAATGGTGACCAAATGGTGGAGACTATTCGATGATGAAGATTAAGCTACCCAAGAGGTGGCACGGGCATGAATAGCCCGTAAGGAGACTATTCGCTTCTCGCTTGCTTATATTTGGTGACTACACCTCAGCTTCCTCCAATAGGATGGAAAGAATGTTACCTGTAATTAAGGAAAGGATTTGAGTAGTCATAATTAGTGCTAATGAGTTTGTCATTAAGATCATGAGAGACTGGAGCGAGTATAATGTTTACTCGCTACAGGTTATGGAGGAGAAGCTGTCGCCCATGCAGCAGGTCTCCCCCCTCTCCACGGCGCCAAGTCTCCAATGGAAAGGCAAACGCCAATAAGATTGGTTCCAGCGCTGTCGCAGGAACTGTCAGAACGAAGTTGACGGCAACAACAAACTGCCCTAAGGGCTCCAGTTCTGGAGTTTACCTCGAAGTTGGTATAAGAAAGCACAGGGACTCCAAACCCGGAAACCGCCGTAGTCGGGGCCGGAGAGGAACCACCCCATCAAGGGCAAGAACGAATCCTTGACCCTCGTCAAAGCCCTTGTGGATTTGTTCTTTTGATGCATCACGCTATTGTGATTTGTGTGTGTAATTGATGAATGCATCTTTGGGGTCGGCCGCTGGAGGAAATGAACACAACCTGAGGACTGATTGCTTGTTAGACATAGTGTAAAAGTGGACTAACCGGCATTTAGCCAATAGTTTGAAGAGAGTGTTCAAATATAGCAAGTGAAAAAAGTTCCAACAATTAGCTGAGTTTTGTGTGTAATACTTATTATTTGTAAAGAGGATGTTGTTGTTGTTATAGATTCAGCTACTCGGAACAAGTTCCAAGCAGCACGGGCTATGGTGAGCCCGTAACTTACCTGGCACAGGAGCGGGGCAAGTAGCACGGGCTATGGTGAGCCCATAGTGGACTTTCCTGGCACAGGAGCGGGGCAAGTAGCACAGGCTATGGTGAGCCCATAGTGGACTTATCTGGCACAGGAGCGGTTGTAAAGAGGAGATTTTGGTCAATTTTTGAGTGCGGGTCGTTCCTCACGTTGCGTGACCCACTATATGTCTACAGAAACACCTGGGTAACAATCGACCGGCCCGCTGGTCCAGCACACTCACGAACGGCCGGCGACTGTCATGTGAACATAAGCGACTGCTACTATAGATCTGGTGCGTCAGGAACAAATGCAAGTAGTGCTACTGGCTCACCTGCTACTCTTCCAGGCGCCTCTTTCCCGAGCATTACCAGCCGCCTCACTCTGCCACCTGAACCTGGGCCAGTCACTGTCAACCTCTCTCTACTGTCGCTCGCGTCCGGCTCGCACCACCACACCTGTCCACAGCTTGGATTGCAGCTCTCCTGTCTCAGCTGTGGAGGAGCTTTGTTTACAGTTCTCCTGTCTCAGCTGTAGAGCTTTGTTTACAGTTCTCCTGTCTCAGCTGTGGAGGAGCTATGTTTACAGTTCTCCTGTCTCAGCTGTAGAGCTTAGTTTACAGTTCTCCTGTCTCAGCAGTGGAGGAGTTTTGTTTACAACTCTTGGTTGATTATTCGTAAACAAATGATAAATAAATATACAGTTCGCCAGCTACTGAGATAGCAAAATATCGTTTATACCTACACAGATATGCGTATGCAAACAATGTGTACTCACATTAACATGCGTTTGCAAACAGTGTGTACTCGCAGGGACGTGTATACAAGCCATGTATACTCGCAGTGACACGTGTATGCATGCAGTGTATACCCACAACGATAAATATGTGCAACTTTTGTAAAGAATCGTAGCAAAATATGATACTGTTGGTGGAGTGTTGCTGCGCTACTCTCTCACGTTAGAAGAAAAAGTAGAAATACACAGCGACAGTTCGTTGATTACTGCCCCAGATAACGTCGACTATTTCCCCTGGATAACTTCCACTACTTCCCCACATAACGTCGACCACTGGCTTGGATAACGTCGACTATTTCCCTGGATAACTTCCACTACTTCCCTACATAACGTCGACCACTGGCTTGGATAACGTCGACTATTTCCCTGGATAACTTCCACTACTTCCCTACATAACGTCGACTGCTGGCTTGGATAACGTCGACTACTGCCCTAGATAACCTTGATACCGGCTTGGAGAAGGTCAAGTTCCGGTTTAGATATAAGGTTTACGGTTGGTGCGGAAAGATCTGGATGTGGTGATATTTTGCAGGTCCAGAGATGTCGCAAAACTCTTCGTCAAACAACATTCAGGTAAGTGGCATCGTTCATCATTGTTTCAGTGTCCCGGGCACTTCCTGCCTTCCACTCCCTGTCCTCCACACCCTGCCTCCCACGCCCTGCCTCCCACATCCTGCCTCCCACTCCCTACCTCCCACTCCCTACCTCCCACTCCCTGCCTCCCACATCCTGCCTCCCACTCCCTGCCTCCCACATCCTGCCTCCCACTCCCTGCCTCCCACTCCCTGCCCTCCACGTCCTAGGCACCTCTTTAAGGCCTCCACTCTGTGAAGTTTTTTGTTTTTCAATGTCAACTCTACGTTGAGCTGATTTATATGTGAATCCATCCTTTACAACGTTTACAAGTGTAAGCGAACACAAAACTGCGACATTCTACAGCAATCGCTGAAGTTTCAAGTCCTCAGATAGGCTGTAATCTCGGTCAGTTTCTTCTTCCTATAAAAGCTATCAAACACCGCTGGAGCAAAAAAAAACAGCCCTGTGTGATTTTTTTTTTTTTTTTTTTTTGAGATATATACAAGAGTTGTTACATTCTTGTACAGCCACTAGTACGCGTAGCGTTTAGGATTACAAAGAATATTGAAGGTTTAAAACACAATCTAATGGGACATTCGTTCAATGTATCCGAATTTGACTTTGGTAGATAACGGAAACTGTGTGCGATAGAATAAGCGGACTGAGACGCCTAACCGATAAACAAGAAAGGAAATGACTAAATTTTGGTCCGTGCTGGACCATTATCATGTCATTACACCACTTGATTGTTGGTGTAATGACAATTACACCAACAATCAAGTGGTGTAAGGACAATCTAGGAAGGACCGAAGCGTAGTTGTATCTTCAATTTCAGATTTTGTGAGTTTGTCTTAGCCGCGTTATTTGCGACACGTCGTAAGTTGTGGGGCCTTAACAACATTACTTCTGTTGCCTCGTACACTCAGTGTTGGAAATAAAAAGTATTACCAAAATGACTTGCCTTTAATGTGGAATATTACATTGTCAAAGTTACAGCGCCGGAAATGTTATGTTATTAGCTTTCATTATATTTAAATGTAAGGTGTTCACAGACATGTTAAAAACTAGTCAAAGAACATGCACGGGGTCTGGTTAAGACCGTCTGTACCTCGGTGATTAATCTGAATTACTACTCACAGGACAAGTAGTATAGAGTAAACTGGCCTCAACAGCAACCTCTAAACATTATTTGATAACAATGTACCTATAGAGAACCAGAGGGTTTGGCAAAACTCTGCGAAAGTGTCACGGCGAAGGTAAGCAGAGTTAGTGGAATGTCTGGCTTAACAGTGTAGCTACAACAAATAACTATTTGTCTCGGTTGTACTACAGCAAGTGTGGGCGACGGCACCCCTACGAGGAATCCTGGCGTCACCTATTAGGTTGATGTTGGGAAAATACAAGCCGTTTGGTCACAGGGTACAAGCAAATTTCGTCCACAAGATGTCTGTAATACTCCTTTAACTGGTAGTAGTTAAAGTGGTAATCTATGGCCAGAGGTAATTATTTTCACACGAGATCCATTGTAAACTTTGCGGACAAGAGTCCAAACAGGTGTTAATGCTTAGTTTCACAAGTATGCACACACGCACACCCATTGTTGCGGTAGGCAGGAACGTTATGTGGGGGTAGGCAGCAACAGGTGAATGCTCTCGGCAGATGTGAAGCAGGTTGCCATGGGTAGTGGAACATTCAGCGCCTGAAGTGGTGCGAGCTGTCCAACTGCCTTGACACAGTTGCTCTAATCAGCAGCTGTCTTTAGTTCTGGGTTGTTTGACGCAGATGGTGACGACATACAAACAACTGCAGCTCACCAGGTGTTTGCGGTTACTAAGAATTCATCGGAAACGGCTGGTCCAATCTTCCAAGTATTTCTGCTGTGTTTGGCACGGATGATTAATGTTCACATAGTTGGAGCAGGTACAGCGCTAATGTTGGTAAACAATGACGACTGAATTGCGTTTCTTGTACATCCAGTCTTCTATGTTTCGAGGAGTTGGCTTGTTGAGTATTTGGCTGGCTGGCTGGCTGGCTGGCTGGCTGTCTTGCTCGCTCACTCGCTCACTTGTGAGACTTTTGTTAGTGTTCCCAGTTTGAGTGTTGGCTGTTGGAGTCCTGTCACTTAAGCACTACAATACTCTTAAGATCGATTGACACAGCCAGAGTCTGGCAGTCGGTACTGTGCAGTCTGCCTTTGTTGCCAAGACAAAAAATTGCCGAAAAGAGGTCGATAGGCGAGGTTTAGAGGCCATATTGATTACTCATAAATATCCAGCAAATCTTCATTCGTTTCCGAAATTGCAGTTGTGACTCGCGGTAAATATTACCTTCAGTCCCAAGATTGATTTCCTGGAAAGATATTACCATTTGCACCAGTTAGGAGTTGTCGTGTGCGACAAACACCTCACTGAACATATACTCTCCTCCAGGAGGTTCAGGAGGTCTTCTGGACCTCGAGGTTCATCTTTCGTTCTCTGTCATATCTACCTCTCTCTGTCGCTTGGGTTGTCTGCTGGCTTCAGCATCCATTCCACTAGTGCTGGCTCCACAATCCATTCCTGAAGTCATGAAGGTTCTGTATTTGCACTTCCAGGATTTGTAGTCTTTGGTCAGTGGTGGATGCCAGGATTTTTGTATTATCTACTAGCATGTACCTAGTGAGTGTTGTGTTATGTACACTTTGCATATGGTGTCTAGGGGGCAGCAGCTTGTAGATGGCAGGTCGGTCTTCTGAAAACTTTGTGATGGTCATACCAATATAAGAAGGTCGAAGGTGGCATCATTCATTAGGGCATGTAAATTGGGATATCACGTTTGCTCTTTCGAGAAAGTTGTATTGTTTATTGGGGCTGTTCTTAAGTATTAAATGAACAGTCCTTTTTGTTTTGTAATAAATATTGAATTCCAAGCTTTGGTCTGGGGCTGTCTGTTTCACTCCATTTGAAATTATATTTTTAATTATGTTTTATACTGTGATCACATAGTGAATTTGTAATAGTTTTACGGGAGGAGTTGGGACGCTGTCACCCAGCTGTACGCTGGGCCTTGGGCACCTCGGCGCGTAAGTACTTTTCACACTTTTCACAGTCATGAAACCCTGGATGCTTATCCCAGCAGTGTGTGAGCTCTGTGACGATCTACTAAAATATTGTTGCAGTTCCTGGTATATCCTCAAGGCAGTCCAAGAGGGTAATCAACTGGCCTCTTTTAAGAGCACATGCTTTGACTAGCGAGTCAAGTAAGGTAAACAATGTAGGTTTACTGGCTGGCTGTGAGAGACCTGAGGGTGAGCTTAATACCTGCAGGCGGGACGGGAGGGCGAGTGTGTTGTGACCTTTTCTGACATTCAGGGCGACCTTCTGAGGGACACGCCAGCACCGGCCGTTGTTTTAAGACGCCTAAATGTCGACTTTCAGCTGGTGTCTGTTGCGGGTGATGGCAACTGGCGCCTGTTGCGGGTGATGGCAACTGGCGCCTGTTGTGGGTGATGGCAGCTGGCGCCTGTTGCGGGTGATGGCAGCTGGCGCCTGTTGCGGGTGATGGCAGCTGGCGCCTGTTGCGGGTGATGGCAGCTGGCGCCTGTTGCGGGTGATGGCAGCTGGCGCCTGTTGCGGGTGATGGCAGCTGGCGCCTGTTGCGGGTGATGGCAGCTGGCGCCTGTTGCGGGTGATGGCAACTGGCGCCTGTTGCGGGTGATGGCAGCTGGTGTCTGTTGAAGGATCGACAGTCACTAAGATAGGAGCTTTCGGGTGTAACACGCTCGCTTTATCGTAATTGGTGGACCTTTCTTTCTGGGTTCTTTCTCCTTATCTTTCACTCCTGAAGGTGAAGGTAATTGTGATCTTCTGGTATACTTTGATTATCAAACCTCTCATCGAGTTCGTGGCTTGATATGGAGATGGAACTACTCCCGTCTTTAGTGAGAAGACGGGTAAGGTCCTTGGACCCACTCGGTTCCTTTTATTGGATTGGAATTGTACTCTTCATCTGTTCTTTACTTGAAGCCCAGAGAATGTGGCCACTGGTAGAGGTGGGGGTCCCAGAGGATATGCTGTCTGTGGCAACTGGTAGAGGTCCCAGAGAATATACTGCCAGTGGCAACTGGTAGAGGTCCCAGAGAATATGCTGCCTGTGGCAACTGGTAGAGGTCCCAGAGAATATGCTGCCTGTGGCAACTGGTAGAGGTCCCAGAGAATATGCTGCCTGTGGCAACTGGTAGAGGTCCCAGAGGATATGCTGCCTGTGGCAACTGGTAGAGGTCCCAGAGGATATGCTGCCTGTGGCAACTGGTAGAGGTCCCAGAAGATATGCTGCCTGTGGCAACTGATAGAGGTCCCAGAGGATATGCTGCCTGTGGCAACTGGTAAAGGTCCCAGAGAATATGCTGCCTGTGGCAACTGGTAGAGGTCCCAGAGGATATGCTGCCTGTAGCAACTGGTAGAGGTCCCAGAGGATATGCTGCCTGTGGCAGCTGGTAGCAGGTAGGTCCCAGAGGATATGCTGCCTGTGGCAACTGGTAGAGGTCCCAGAGGATATGCTGCCTGTGGCAATTGGTAGAGGTCCCAGAGGATATGCTGCCTGTGGCAACTGGTAGAGGTCCCAGAGGATATGCTGCCTGTAGCAACTGGTAGAGGTCCCAGAGGATATGCTGCCTGTGGCAACTGGTAGAGGTCCCAGAGGATATGCTGCCTGTGGCAACTGGTAGAGGTCCCAGAGGATATGCTGCCTGTGGCAATTGGTAGAGGTCCCAGAGAATATGCTGCCTGTGGCAACTGGTAGAGGTCCCAGAGGATATGCTGCCTGTAGCAACTGGTAGAGGTCCCAGAGGATATGCTGCCTGTGGCAACTGGTAGAGGTCCCAGAGGATATGCTGCCTGTGGCAACTGGTAGCGGTCCCAGAGGATATGCTGCCTGTGGCAACTAGGTGCCATGCGTGTTGAGATCCCTCCTCCCCCCCCCCCTCCTCCGACTCCACCCTGTCAGCTCTTACGGTGGTA